GTTTGACAATACTCGGTCGAGTCTCCACCTCTTTATTATTCTTACACTCGCTCGCTACCCCAGAATGTCTGTGGACATTTGCAAGATAAATATAAGAAATTACTTTTCATTGCTTTCAAAAAGCTGATTGATCCGGTTTGATCTGGACGTCTAAATAATGTTGGTATGAAATTATGCTGATTCAAATCTTGCTGGGAATCGAGCTCTGCCCATTGATACTGCCTTTTCGGGTGTTTATGGTGACCATTTCAAAAATTGTTAGTGTGAGATAAGTTTCCACCCGGTCGTTTCCAAATATTGCAATGATCGAAGCCAATCCACATACTTTTCTGCAAATTTCAAGCCTTTTGTACACGATAGGTGCAAAATCTTTCCACTGTCGTTTTACGCGCTTAATATATCGAAAATCATGTCATTCTTGGGAACGAATGGCGGAAGTTTGCAATATTTTCGAGCAAAAATTTTCAGTTTGTCTCTCGCTCAGTTCTTAAGTGAAACCCAAGACTCAAAGCAAAAGTTAATCTTATGTATAACTTGCTACCCTTATCCTGCATGTAGGAATCTTAGACCTATAACCAACCGAAGATGATTGGAATGTTGTGAAACGTTGCACTGTCGCATCTGTGAAGTCCATTGGTCTTTCCATGCCTCGTTTTATTTCAAGCTTACTCTTCCTCTTTTGCTACTCACTTCCTGCATTCTATACTTCAATTCCTTCTAGATCTGAAAGTAATTCTGTACGGTCAATGATGCACCACTTCCCTCTAGGCCTATTAAATACCTACACATCTCACACCGTTACTGGTTTATTGATCACGATATTCCCTGTCATAAAGACTGATACAGCAGAAGTGTAAAGACCGAGAGTAAGTTTCTTAGAGACTGGAAAAGTTGACTCTCTCTGATTCGCGGGGCTCGTTGCTCGTATGGAGGTTGCACTGGCATCATCTCACCGACATCTCATTTGAACCCTCCATAACTGCGATCATATCTGAAACTTGCTGTAAGAGATTTTCAACCAACCCGATTACATGAACTCACCCATTATGAAGTTGTAAATAAGAGTTGTGGAGACATATGCACTTAGACACTTATGTGTATCGATTTGGAAAGATCAGGACTTGCATACATCCAAAATTAGAATTATCCCCCGTGTATAAATTTTTTCCTGCATACTCGCATGGGATTATAACCAGGCATGGTTGTATTAGGCGACCGTATATATACGGTCGCCTAAATTACCTAAACTTGATGGTGATTAGGCGATTAAATTAAGGACATGCACGTAGAATTGATGTATTTTTTAAAAAAAAATTATATATTAATGTAATTTTTTTAGGAAAAAAAATTGAAAAAATTTTATTCTGAAAAAAAATTTAGTAAACTAAACTAGCCTAAATTAAATTTTTAGAAATTAAATTGATTTAAATTCACTTTTTTAGTGTACTAAATTAACCTAAACAAACTTTGTAAAGAGACTAAATTCGCCTAAATTAATGTTTTTAATAGACTAAAAGAAGTTTTTCGAGGAGACTAAATTATACTTATTTAGGTAATTTAGGCGGGAGACTATTATATCCATGACTGATTATAACTGATTGGAGATTTGGTTTCGCTGTAACTTACTGAGTCTCACCAAAGTATAGATCATTGGCTACAACACAGCCAAGGGCTTCTCTGGTACTTGTATGAACGTGACATTGAAGGTCCAGTGTGAAACATAGTGATTTATCAAGCAAGCTACTCTCCTTTTCTTCTGATCCCCGGATTGGGTTTACTCTATGACTTCGTTGGCCTCCGCTTTGTATTGCGTTAGATGGTTCATCGATTCCACACATCACCCTTCTTTTTCGTCATTCTTATCATTTCGCATCACAAGATTAATCCTCGAGGGAAGTCTTTCAGACTAGACTAATTAACTGAAGCGTTGCATGACCTAGTTAATGATACGCGCTTCGGAAATATGCGTCCATCGAGCTATGTCTAGTGGCATCTGATCATCGCAGCGGCCGCGAGTCCCTTGACTGACCATGAGCTAGAGATGGCTGTCAGTCAGTTTTCACGAGCAGCGAACTAGTATTGAGCCAGCAATCAAAAAGGTCAAGGCAGATCGAGAACTGGCTGAAAGTTGAACATGTCGATTGACAGTGAGTACAACTTGTTAGAAATAAACTAATTTCAGTCCTCCAATGCAGACCAAGGGACGTGGTGTAGGTCCAGCATGGAGTTCGCTTGATTCCTAGACGGGGCATCCCATACACAGCATGTCGATAGAGGGATGGTACAACGCGCTACAGATACTGATCGAATCTTTTTGCCCGTGGGAATCAAAGGCTGGTCCATGAACTTCATCAACACATTCAGCTCCAGCGCGTACACAAGTGTTCTCGCCGCGAACTGGGATCCCAGCGTCGGAGATTTAGTCGCTACTGCGATCGGAACCCCTCTCAGAGCGATGCTGAATTCTTAAAACGAGTGAGAAATGTGCGACCCTGGGTGCAGAGTGCAGAGTATGTGACGTGGGGTTCTAGATCCCTCAACTTTAATTTTGATTTCATTTTGTATATACGTATTTTAAGTGCACACATCTGAACATTGCGTGATAGCACATTCCATGCCCAATTTAGTTGAGATTCCGATGTGTATTTTAGATTGGACGGTGTACTCACCTGCTTGATATTGGAAGTCATGGCGAGTATGAATGTGAAACAATTAGATGATTTATTCTTATTGAATTTCACTTTGCTTGGTATATGCATCTATATTTCATTTTTTATTATAGTAGTATTTTGATTCAATCATGGATCACACGATTCAATTATTCGGAACGAAATACCTACTCATAAATTTGATTATGGATGTTGTCTTTGCTATGACACATGTAAATAGATACCGAATACGGAGCAAGTGTTGGTAAATCAGATTAACAATTAGTAATATAATCATTTCATAATTGATGATTATCGATACAAGACGTGAGATGAGACATGTCACATGTAGCGAGTTGAGCAACAACAGCAAAAATCACCTGGCTTAAGGACATGCAAAGATAGTAACTCTTTATTTCTCTTGCATTGATACTATATTAAGTTATGAATGAGAACTTGGATGTTCGTGATAGAATGTGTAAAACCCTACCATATATGGTTGAATATTATCGTTTTTTGTGTACAATATGTTAGTAATGGGTTTTTTATGCTCTAAGAAGATCACTAGTCAATTCCTACTTAAAGTAAATCAATCACGTTAGCTAATGAAGTGTTATATGACTCTGATGTTTTCACCCCCATTTGCCTTAATAGTTAAGATATTTTAGGTGTCATATGACACGATACTCCTTGTGATTCTATTAGGGTTAGGCGTCTGATTTTCATCTAGTCCTCTTTCCTTGTGCACCCTAAAGAAGCGTCTCCCAGACGTTTCTGTTATCTACTTGGCCCCAATTCAAAATATTTCTCTACTTCATATTTAAAAGACCGAAGATACCGTGGATAACAACATTAAGCTAAAGGCCATTGCGAACCTGAAACTCCACCGTAGAGAGAAAAAAGAAAAGAAGAAAGTAGGATGTGAGAGGGCTGTGCTAAACCGGATAGGCGTTAAAAATTAAACCAGTACCAGAGTTGGAGATATGGCCAAATTGAGAGTATATGTGTTTGATTCTAGTTGGAGTTGTGGACCTCTAATTGTATCTCTCGAGAAGATGCAATAACATGTCCTCTTCAATTGTTCTGCAGTAGCATGTTTTTTTGCAAGCTACAATATCAGGATATGACACGAGAGCAGTTTAAAAAAAAGCTAGAAGTTATTTTCTTACATTGCACTACAATCGCTTACATTTTAGAGAGTATTTAAGTACTTGACTCTCGTTTTGCATTTCACTCGAAATTTGCTATGGAATCTATACTCGTCCTAAAACAAAGCTTGAGATGTATGAATGTGTCGCTGATCTTTAACTGCTTTCTTCTGATTAAAAGTTTTATTCTAACCGAATTGCTGAAACTTGTTGGGAGATTTCGCAAACTTTGCTAAACTGGGCACATTGCAGAAGATTTCCTTCAGTATTTGTTTCTACTCTGTTTCTACTTTCACTCTCACTTCTTGCCATGAAGACAACAAATACTGTTAGTTGGGGAGATGCTAGATGTTGGTAAAGAACATGGAGAGGGATGAATGAAGATGTGGATTGATTACCTTGTAAATATCCAACCAATTGGGTACAAAGTTATATAACAAAAAAGTATGGGAAGAAACATCAAGTCGTGCGGGCATGAGACTATTCTAAAACATCATCGGACAGTCTTATAAAACCAGCATGCTACTCGAAATCCTTCATGATATGTGAGAGTTGTTGTCAATGTTTCCAAGTCCCATATGAGAACTCAAGGTGTTTTAATGATATAGAGCAACCTTTGATATTCTATTAACATATTTACTTCGATATACAACTCTCACTAGTTCTGATCTCCGAGAATTATGTTTTATGATGTTTTAATTATAAACAACATAATCATCTAAACTATTCACCTCGGATTAGAGGTACATTTGAGTCACGAATCGCCTACATTATTCAATGAGTAGATCATAATTTTACAAGAAATCTATGCTATCATGCTGGGTGACATGTACTATCACCCTTTAGTTTATTATATACATTTATTAAGGCAAACTTACATTCATTATTGTACACAACATCAACTGGCACAATCCATAGAACATGAGGCACTTCAATTGATGAGTAATCATATGTATAGACTGTTTTCTCTATAGTAAATATATCTCATGTCCATTAGTACATATTATACATTATCGAACTATTTGGATCTAGCTTGTCTTCACCTCGGTAAAAGTCGAAGGGTGTTCCCATCATTTTTGCAATATTACTTCGTTCCCAACTTCTGTATTTTGAAGTGCACTGTCGGGTAGTCCAACGATGAGGAACATACGGGCACGTGCGAATGAAGCAGGACGCCCGGGCATTTGCAGAGAGGATTGCACACAAAAACGTGGATCATACACGAACCCTTTTTTGGCTTATTCCCGTGTTTATAGGCTCAATTATTGAGAAATAGAGCAATATATATGATCATCAAAGTATGCAGATGAGGCCATCTGAGTCATAACATACACTGGAGTGCAGACTGACTGAACTACCAGACGGCGAAAATGAAATTGAAGTGCTCGTGTCAGTGTGGTGCCGTTCACTATGAATGTGAATCGAAGCATCCCAGTCCCTACCAGGTATGTTGTAACTTGTCGGCACTTCGAAGTCCTGTTGTAATCAGTTCTTTGAAGCCATCGAGCTAGTGCACGGGAGATTGAATTCGAAAATGTGAGGGCGAGCTGAAGTTATGTTTAGTCTATCTGCCGAGTTCGTTCCTTGTCGATCCGATCGTACTTATTTGCTTGAATTGTCGCGGATTAGCTCTGTTACTGCTCGATTTGTCGGAAGACAACGGGAGGAGGAGGCTGTTCGATCAACATTGAAGGCGATGCGAGCTCGTTGACCGTGACAGGGGCTGAGAACATCACCGTCTATCAAGCAAAGCTTCCTGCAACTGAGGATTCGCCCGCTAAGGTACATCTTGGTCGGAACTATATTGTTTACTCTTGATTGAATGGTTCAGCACAGATCGTGGCAGGTGATCGGAGCGGAGAATTGAAGCGAAACTCGGCGTTGTTCTGCATAATTCATGGTTGTCCTTCAGTCGTCTAAGCTGTTTGCTTTCTTCAAGGTTTTAGTTATTCAATCTCAATCCACTTCTCAATCACGACTTGGAAATCACTCTACAGAGTTCCGATATTGTTATTCAGTAATTTGATCGTTGTCAGATCAACATTGCCTGAAAAACTCCATTCTCCGTGTAAAACTGACTATCAGATGGATATGAGACGCATGGCTGATCTCTAAACAACTTCGTGTAATTTGAATCGTGTTTTCAGTTAACTGTAAGACAGAAAGATCCAGATTTATGTAGAAGTATTGTCTGAAAGGTTTAAACGATTTAACTGTTTGAAACATTCTTGTAGGTGGCCTACTAGAATGTATAGCTCGGTAATGGAAAGCAGGACCCGGGTATCTATGTTCAGTCCACGACGACAGTACTCTGACTCAGTAATGATAATTATCCCGTACCATATACGAGGCCATAGTCTGACATTTCCAAATTTCGTTCTCAAAACCTGCAACGAATTACCTGTTTTCAAAAAGGAAGTGAACTGATTAGCTTGAGTTTCGGTAGTTGACGATGGAATCGTTGTGCAGATAAGTGAGATGCGTCGGCGGTTTTGCAAGATATGTGGATCAGCTCTGTGGTTTGACGATCCCCGATGGCCGGAGGTGATCAATCCGGTTGCTACCTCCGTCGATACTGAGCTCCCTACACCTCCAGAGAAAACACACATAATGTTAGACTCAAAGGCTTCTTGGGATCAGCCAATTTTTGGCCCAGATGACAAAATGTTTCCAGGATATCCTGAGGAAAGTATTGCCGAGTTTCATCAGCGACTTGGGCTCGAGGCTTGATTCAGGGATGTCAGCCCATTTTTGTGAGCATGACCACTTACAGGGAGAGAGTCTTCGATGTGGTACAGTTTTGAAGAAGGTTTCAGCCCGATTTCAGGTTAAGAAAATTCCATGAACCAGTGTCTTGCCAATAAGGTGAAAGATGTAGGTTTCTATCTCAGAAACCACGACCGTATTTTTGGTTTCGACCTCAGAAACCAAAGAATCTTAATTTCGGTAGACCCTAAGCAGCGAGATTTGAACAGATTACATCGTTTTGAGAAAACTCAACCCTTATCGTTATCTGGTTGAACTGTAGCAGTGCTTGAAGTTTGAGAAAGTTTGAATAAGCTGATTCCCAGAGAAGTTACCACAGAAGTTTCACAGCTTATTGTTAAGATAAATACTCAATGGTCATTGATGCGTACCACAATACAACAAGTCAAACGCAAAAATCTGTTCTTTTCCTTGTACATGCTTCTTTATCTTGAGTTTTCAAAGTCGTCGGGCTGATTATCTCTCCAAAGTTCAACAAGCGTAGAGTTCAACATCTTATATGTCAAGATGATCTGTGTTCTTATCCATCTATGTGGCTCTCATGTGGACTGTAAGAATTGCAGGTTCCGTAGACACAATAGGTCTAATGTTTTGAGGACTAATAGGCCTGGATTGAGCCTAATGTGCATAAAAAGCTTATATTATGATGAGTAATTTGAAAATTACCGACATAGGTACCCTGACAACATAAGCCTAGGCTGTATCTCACAACGCTGGCTGGAAGAGATACAGAAGTGTCTGTACTAAAGGACCCTCATGTGTGAATGAACCAACTGAATGGAACTCAGGTGACCTTGTAGTAGCCTTAGTGTTTGTAGCCATAGTTTGATACATCGTGAAACCACTCTGCCAACTGCGATTTCACTCCGTCACCTGGCTGATGAAAAGAGGTTTCACACGACTGTGGACTAAACCCCTTCGTGAGAATTGCGACCTTCTGTCCCCTGAATACGGTTGACCAGTACAGAATCTCTCTGCGCGTTCTCTTACTGTCTTAGACAGGATACGATTTGAACAGCTGATGGACGATAACACGGATTCAATAGATGTTATCACTGAATTAGTCTAATGGATTAGTGTACGAAAGTACGATTGCCTACGCAGCAACAGACCTTTACATTAGGTTTCTTCTCAAGTTCCATCTTACTGTGGGTAATGTCATAATCACCGAAGTGTTGTACCCCAAAGTCCTCGTAGTACAAGAACTTGAAGGTTCTTTCATTATGCAAGTGTACTTTGTCAGCTGTTGTTTTCCCATGCTCGGTTTGAACATACACGATCTCATGCCAACACACCGCAGAACATCCACTCAGGAGTTTGCTTCCTGGTATTCCACCCAGGATGAACGCAGTCACGCAGATATTAGTTTACCAACGTCGTGTCATGAAGTCAAAAGTACAGGGTTTGGGTGAAGCCCTCTTCAGCTTCCTACTTTATCCTCAAAAATCAGTATATATGGATAAAACTAAGTCTGATTGCAGACCAATGTACAACTCAGAATCACCTCTACTTACCTGAGGAAGTTTATCCTTCACTACGATCTTCAAATTCATCTAATCAAAGGCCGTCTTCTGAGTGCGCTTCGGCCCGAAGCCTGGAAGTCTATTAGCAGTTCTCTGGGTGATACCCAGTTCAAAAGCTAAAGGTTTCAAACCTGGCTCCCCCAGCAGACTGAAACCGCAAATGCCATAATATGAATGCAAAAGATCGGGCAAGTCCTCCTGTGGGAACTTGGAAAAACCGCCCCACTTCCTCTGAGCTGAAATTAAAAACTTTCGGAGCTGTTCGTGATTACAAAGATGGTCAATTTCAAACATTCTCAGAGAACCACCGAGCCAAAAGGCGTAACAAGTGTCAGCTGGCTTGTTAGGCCTGCCTTGGAAGCCGCCGCCTTCAGCTTGTCTATTCATACACCACTTCATCGCGCGGTCGACATCGATGAGAGAAGCCAAGGTTGCAGAGGATGGCCAGCTGCTATCATACAGCGTTATCAGCCTCAAGGCAGCTAGAGCGCAGTAAGTGGCTCCTCCATGAGCCTCCAACCCTGGCGACAGACCAAATCCGCCATCAAATGACTGGCTCCTGACGATAAAATTCACTGCCTTGTTTCGATCGACACCGTTCCAGTCATCGAGCATAACAGAAATGGCGACTGCACAGAAAAGGAAGCGCATGTCGCTTTGCTTATCTATAAGCGAGGGTGAGAAACTCCCATCTGACTGTTGGAGTTTTCGTATAGAGCTCACGATCGCATCTCGAGAAACCCGGGAATAATCGTCACCCAAAATTGCCAGGACAGCCAGCGCCGAGTAAGTCATAGCTAAGTGACCGCCATCGTGTGCCGTGGGATGGGCGCCGTGACCTTGAAAGCTGATCCCGACTGAAGGAGAACCACGAAATCCATATGTTGTCTCGTTGTTGCCTTCACCAACCTCGGTCTGCGGCAGTACCTGTAGTCCATAAACCCACGCGATCGTATCTTCGACCGAGACGTGATCGAGAGAATCAAGAATGTCCAGGGCAGAGATGGCGAAGTAGGCGAAAGTCAAGCGATTAACTTCTTCACTCTCGTAAGCACCGGGGAGCTCCAGCAGCATCCAATTAAAGTACTGCTCGTGCAAATCTCGCCGGAAAGAATCGTCCTCCATCTTCACTCACTTCCTTCAAACCTAAGCAGCAACTCCAAGAGCTAGCATGGAATAAAAAATACCCGATCAGGTAGCCATCGAAATCCGCTAAGCTGGAAGATCTAACGATCCCTGCCAGAGGGAATTGACAATCGGTCCCATTCCGCTCACAATACACAACCCGCTGCCTTCCGCTGTAAAAACTTCCTCTGCACGGGCAACACCTCCATCTCTGAATGAGGTAGACCTATTTTCCACATTGATCTGCAAATCAGCCCGGAGCACTGCAGATCTGGAGCATTGAACCTGTGAAGGTACATTGACGAAAATTCATCGGACTGTTACTCCTCACGGAATTCGCAGAACTCCAGGTGCTAGCTCCCATGACAGAAACAGACAGAACCCAAGCACGTTCCGATCAGAGAACAGAAGAGCAAATGAAGGGGAAGCACAACAGCGAAACCGATGGCCCTGTCGATTAGGAGGAAAGTCGGGGAATTAGAGGCTCTCGATCACACAACGAAGGGACTGTGACGGGAATTACCTTTTGGAACAACCCACTATTCATTCAGGCAACAAAGCATTGCGCACTGGATCGTGCCCTCTGCTCCTGGTAGGCGCATATTCTTTGCACGCGTACGCACGGCAGTGGTCGTTCCCCAAAACGGCACATATCTAGCACCCCCACTGGAATTCTATCGTGCAGGCAAAACCATGTTAGGCGAAATGTGACTTTCACCGGATAAGCATATTTTACGAGGGGAAAGCCTTGGAGCTAAACATCGAGGGTGCCCAGCTCAGATCGACGGTGTGTGTTACTTGATCTCATGAATCTCCGGATGGCAGGTTCATGAGGGAGCGAATGGATGGAAATTGAGGTTTTAGACATGAAAGGTTTTAACATGAAACATCGATGAATGTATGTTTCAGGATTAGTTTCGACTTGAGACACTGACGGCGAAAAGGGAGAAAGTTGAGTAGATCAGAGGGTACACTGGTTCTTCTCATTTGGGCAGTCTTATACTCTTTCAAAGTGATTAGACAATATCTTCATTCTTCTGAATAGTTTTCGGAGGCCTCCGAAATAGGAATGAGATGTTTCTTGTGGCAGTCCTATGTTTTAGAACTTGCATCAAGATTGCAATCGTGTTGAATTAGAAGTATCATGTTGTTGAATTTCACTCTCAACTCGTGAAAATGTAAAGCTAAATTGATTAATTGACCAAAAGATCCGTGTTGTGGTTTCATGAAATGACTCTAGTTGTTTGCATCCTTTGCAAGAGAATTACTTTCGGTGTCGGTTCGGCCGGTGATACCTGTTAGTGTTTTTCGCAATAGAAAGATACATGGGGTTATTAGCTTACAATTATGAGGGAGTTTTTATTATGTCTTTTCCAAGTATGTACTGCATGTATATTACTTCATCTACTAAGGGATCCGCATGTGATGTCTGATAAATCATGTTTCAATATCACTCATATATGGAACTATTCTGTTTGCACAATTGCTACTCCCAATACATCCATGTTTCTTATTACATTCTTTGATATGATACTCTTGAACTTATTTGATGACATTTTTGAACTTATAGTGTGTGGCATGAGATTTCTCACGAAATGCATGGGCTTATTATGCATGAAATTGCATGTAAATTGCTCACTTCAAGCAATTTTGCCTAGTTGAGAACATTATTATTTTTTATATACCTCACACGTATCAAGTTTACCTAGTTGATATCTCTGTACATATTTATTTTCTTCTCAAATTTTTAGTGCAAATAACTACGAGAGCATGTATTATCGTTGAGATTATCCACTTTGTAGGCGCAGGGAACTCAGCACTTCGGAGCAACGCTCGCCAATCACTATATCAGCGTACTGGAGCAGGAAGGGAGGGAGCCTTTGTTATCTGGCTTCAAAGATTAGATTCATTCGTATTTGTAATCAGTGATCTGGACTAGAGATGAGCAACAACCACATTAAGGGGGAAAAAAAGGAGATGAATTATAAGTTACGTATATTGATCTTGTGTGAAATTTAAACGTTTGATGCTCATATATATACCCTACAAAATACAAAGTGAATCAGCGAAAAAGATCAGACAGGCACTCTTGCTTTGGTGCAATAAGAGGATACGCAACTTACTTCTTCACACTTTGGATTCTAGTTGGTGTCCAAATGCCATTACAAGGCTTTTCAGTTTTTATTGGAAATTAACTAAGTTGTACATGAGAGTCCAGGGCTCTTGTGTAGCAAAGGGGCCGGCCGTTTTTGAGGTACAGGGATTTTAGAAGATTCTATTTACATTACTAGCAGGACATTCTAGTAATGCTTTAATCCTTGAGGTATGCGAGGATCCTCAGTCTTTGTCAACAATCACAAGTAGAAACTTGCTGCACAGTTCTGGAGACAAATACAACAATGTGTGTAGATGTTCAAAGGAATCTCCAGAGAAAAAAATGGATTTGCCATGCACGTACTGAAAACTTAAGAAACAGCCCATCTCAAGATATATACTAAACGCCTATGAGTGTTGGATAGCTGAATAAAAATAAATTAGATTAAGAAAAATGATTTGCAGTATCGACCAGGGCATTTGGTCTAGTGGTATGATTCTTGCTTAGGGTGCAAGAGGTCCCGAGTTCAATTCTCGGAATGCCCCTAGAGTGTTTTGCTTTCAGCTTACCAAGCCTGTCAAGTTTGAATTTCTTCTGCCTCTTCATGTCGTAGTCACGATCGGGATCCCTTTCAGCTTGCCAAACCAAGCTTGTCCCGTCTGTCATACCAACAAGCCATCTGCAAAATGATAGATATTCTGCGTTGAGTCTCTGATTGGGGGGCCCCCCAGGCGGGTTGTCCCCTTGTAGAAAAGGTTTTTGCTTTTGGTCTTAATTGAAAAGGCCTACGGCCTGACTGAGCACTTTTCTCTGTAGTGAGGATGTTCCCGCATCGAAAGTTTGAATTTCTTCCGCCTCTTCATGTTGTATTCACGATCGGGACCCCTGCTCTCTTCTTCGTACCGATTGTCCATATCCTCCAGATATACATAAATGTTACTGTATAAGAATCGAATTGGAAGTGTACCAAGTAGACAGATATAGTACGGAGAAAAGGGTCTAAGATGAACTTATATTCATTTTCTTTTCAAATGTTTAGGAAATACAAGTTTCTCTACATTTTCTACTGATGTAGGTAAAAGTATATGTAATACGTTAAAAATTTTCATTTTTTTGACTTTTTATTTTTCCATCTTTAAATTTTTTTCACAAAAATAGATACATGGTTTTTAAATTTATTCTATCTATCTTTACCCATTTATTAGAATAATATTGCCTTTTCCGTTATTAAGTAATAGCGGTAAAATTTATTTTAACATATGTTGTTATTATTTTCTTTTCAATTTTCATAAGTGGTTAAACATTCGCATAAATATCATTTTTTTCGCAACTATCTATAATAAAATTTTTACATTTCATAGAAGTGAAGAAGCGGATATTTTTTACTACTGTGGACACAAATTGTCAACATGTACAATAATCTTATTGTGCACTGCAAAAGAAAAGGCAGAGGAAATAGCATTATACAGTACATTTTACACTTTCATCACATGGAAGTTGCTACAAAGGGTTGAATGACTTGCAAATCTTGCATGCTGCTGATGGAAAAAATTTATTGGCAGTTTTATACATGTTGGCAGAACGAAGCCAATTTGATGTTAACAATGTACACTAATAGACTACGCTTACCAACCACTCCATTCATGCTACAACCGGCACTGACAGCTACCGTAGTCATGCAAAAATCAATCGACAGTATATATGCATAGAATAGTGCCACTCTTAGAGTCGAGTGAGGTCATTCGCTATAGCACATACATCTGGTTACTTCGGATCTACAAGCCAGATGATATGTTTCTCTAGATGAAAAGACTCCTCAACTTTTCTAACTTACAACTCCTCGTGAGAAGCTTCCAAGTCTGCACTATCCTTCACCTTCTGTCCCAAATGACCCGCGGTTTGAGATAATTTCTCCTTGGCAGTTTCATAATCCTTCTTCGCTTCTTCAGATGTCTCTCCTGCAGCGGTTTGAGTGGCCTTTAACTTATCGGCGACGGTGTTCTTGGCAGCATCATAAGTCTCTTGAGCTGTCTTCTTCGACTTGTCAGTGACTTCACCGCCCTTGTTCTTGCTGTACTCAGTAGCGTCTGAAAGCATCACAACAAAGGATTTGTTAGTTACATGTCCCCGCTTCAAAATATTTTATTGCAATAAGACAGTCAAAAGTTATCAACAATATAGCCATAGATGCCGACAGAAGAAGGTTTTTCTTCCATCACATACGAATGGAATTTTGATTACCTGCTGCGGTGTCGGTGACCTTGTCCTTGGCTGCTGCAAGGTGCTCACCAGCCTTGGCAGCGTACTCCTTGGTTGTCTCAGTGGCTTCGCCTGCTTTCTTTGAAGCTTCGTCTTTGGTGGCATAGACAGCATCAGCTGCGTCTCCAGCTTTCTTCTGACTTTCAGATGACAGGGTTGAAGCAGCATCCTTCGCTTCAGCGTACTTGTCGTTGGCCATCCTAAATGTCAAACAAGTGGAACACAATCAGCACCATAGCTTTAAAACTTAAAACTTCCACATCATAACGTCAGGGTTTTCACATCCATTATCTACATTGGTGAGTTCTACATTTTCTAATGAATCCAGCAGAATCACTTGACAAGGAATGAAGATGTGCTAATTAAGTATACGAAACAGTATACAACACCTAAGTGGCATTGATTAATAAAAGCACTAACTACATCCATCAAAGAAGGCGCAATCAAATCCGACCACATTAGTGTATCTGGTAAGTGTGCTCTAGAAGTAGGCAAGCCGATCAGGTTCAAAACTTACTGCTGGGCAGTTCCGGCGAGGTTCTTCACTTTCTCGACGGCCCACTCGAGGTAAGAGCCCGAGGTGTCCTGAGCAGCCTTGGTGGCATCCTCAACACTTTCCTTGGTAGCTCCTGCAGTCTGCGATGCCTTCTCTGCAGCGTCCTTGGAGGTTTCAGTCGTCTTGTCTGCGGTCTCCTTTGCCTTCTGGGCCGCAGTGTCCTTTGCCTCGTCCACCTTCTTGCTGGCAGTATCCTTTGCATCGCCCAACTTCTTCCCGGCAGTATCCTTTGCCTCGTCCACCTTCTTGCCGGCGCCATCCTTGGCGTCTGTCGCCTCGCTTGCCTTCTCATTAGCTGTGGACTTGGCCTCATCGACCTTGTTCGCAGCTGCATCCTTTGCAGCATCCACTTTTTGGCCGATCGTCTCCTCGCATCTGACCACAAGAGCAGTGGATGCAAGGAGGGCTACCACCACAAGCAAAATCCATGTTGACGGTCTAGCCATGATTCTGACCTGTCCTGTAAGAGTCTGGAAACGATCTACACAACCGAACGTCGAACTCTGCTTGCCGATCTGTGTACACCGAAGAATTTGGTAGCAATAATGTTGGCCTCGGTAGAGAGAAGATTGTGAGGGACTGCTGTGTTCTGAGAGACAAGTTGAGACGGGCAATATAAAAGGGTTGCCAAGGGCGGGGCATAACAAATCAGAAAGTGCATGCGAAGGCATGTCGTAATTACGTGTCGTTCGTAGCGATGTACATATGGCCAGAGCAGCCAGCACTGCCGATCAGACTTGTCGACGCGTGGAAGTAAATTTACTCTAGATAAGTGAACACGTGGGGTGAGAACACTTATCTACCGAGGGAAGTTGGGCTTTATCTTTCCTTTATGTGTAAAAGTTTACCTTTAGCATTATTTGCGCACAATTTGAGTCGTATCCACAATAGCGTGGTTCCTCCAATTTACACGACTCTATGGACCACACTCATTCATATACAGTGATGTGTCTGAACCCGATCAACTCTAATTTCGCCTGACAGACGCGATTTCAGTTTTAGCCAAATGCATATGACTCTTGTGGTATCCAGTTTTAATACCTTCTGGAATCCAACTTGCCAATAGACAAGAATGTCAATAGAGCATTTAGGGTTATCCACATGGAATTTTACTCTGCCACATGCGTTTCGTCCATATATTTTTATCTAAAACTCTACTAGTCTCTCTCTCCTTAAGATTACGATGCACAGTACTGAATGTTTTAAGTTTTTTTTCTTCATAATAACAGCTTCATGCCTGTATATTATTGTATAAAGACAAGTTCTGCAAGTCAGCGCCACATTTCGCCATCTTAGTAACTATAATACAAATTCTTCTTTGGAAATCATAGACTGCATGTCTATTGCAAGATGAGCTAGTGTTTGTGTCAAACTAAAAAAATCAATGAAATTCAAGTTTTATATTCTGAATTGCCGTTGGTGTTACCCAGAAGATTTCAGATTCTATCCAAACTGTACCGCATCTCTTTCAATCTACTCGACTGTGTAATCGCACCGTCCCAGTGCCTGTCCACTGTGCATTGCGTATGCTACCAAGTGCACTCAGCGACACTCAGTCATCTGGAGCCTTGAATTTCGACCTATCATTTCAATGCACCTCAGTCATATTATTACAAAAAACGACAAAGATTCGACGAGTATTTGGTAGTGTTAGTAATACGTGGCAGGTATAAGGATATACATGGCTCGTGAATCACCCTGCCAAGGCAGAAATTTTGCATGGAGGCTCGGCAGCATTCATCTTACCCGACAACCAGGGCCTCCTCCTCCTCCTTCCGTCGTTAGGGCAAGCAAATGTAAGGGGAGATTGGCGGCTGCACTTTTAACCTGCACATCCATAGTTCTATGGTGCTCGGTTCTTTGAACTTTAGAGCTGAAAGAATATATATATCGCCATACTTAGAAACCTTTTGGATGTTGCAAAACCTTAAAGATTGGATTTTCCATGCAAGAAGATAGATAAACATAAAATCTTGTAAAACTTGGTCTTCAGGAACCAACCAAGTTAAAGCTCATCCTAAACTTTTGATTGCAATGCAACCAAAGCTCCCTTCCAGAGGAGTTATCCGCATTCACACCTTAGCAAATTTCATATATATTATTGCGTAATGGCAAGACTTTTTTGTCATTTGAATGTGAAACTACTCATGTGAAAAATATGAAATAAGAAAATCTTATATAAAATTAATAAAATCATAGATGGATCGATCAAATAAAATCTGATCACAATAAAGAATTGTAACTAATGAGATTTTAAAACGTGAATGCATACTTGAGCCAATTTTATGAGACTGATCTTTAGCAGAACAAAGCCATAAATGACCCTTGATGATACAAGGAATGTTCAGATCCAATAATAATGTATGTAAAGCTACTAAAAAACACCCCATTATCGAAGTATAATATAAATTTTTAATCTATTTAAAAACTCTGGACAAAGATTAAAAGGCTATCTTCAACCATGGTTCATATGTTAACTGTAAAATTAAAATATCAGATTTATCTGTTGTAAAACTAATATTAAAGAGACTTATTAATTGACATTTTTCTCGCAAACGTTTAAATAATACATTTTTTCTCAAGCACAATTTTTTTTAAATATTCTACTTAGAATTCATAACAAAAATTTAGACCCCAATAATATTTATGTTTGAATTTTTTTTTCTAATGAAATTTTTTCACACACTGGAAGATATTAAATACAATGATGTAAACAAAGATTGTATTCAAGAAAATTAATGGTACTATTTAGATTATGTGAATCGAATTTTTTAGACACTAGTTCCAAAGATACAAGTTTGAGACTCATAAAAGCTGGAACTTCAAACAAAATCATTTACTAAAAAATATGAATGATATTAATAATTTAAATGCAAAGATAGATTCAAATTATATGTTAGATTCTTAAATAAACAATAATATGTTAGAAATATTGCAAAAGTGATCACATTAAGCATTATCGTTGTGTGAAGATCAAAAGTAGTGAAATTTTTTTAGACATTGTGACTCAAAACTTTCATTTGAAAGAAGTTGATGTAAATTATATTGGATCATAAAATCATAGATTTTACCTTCTATGTTGTCAAGAAATGTTGATATTGTTGCCGTTAAATACTTTATTTGGGGTAACCTCTCTATATTAAGTCGTAATGAGTCGGTTTGAAGAAGAGTATATATATCCCTCTTGAATAGTCTGTAACCCCCGCCCGCTGCATTATTATCAGAGTGATTCTCTTTTGGGGACGTAGCATAGGAGAAGGTTGAACCACGTATCTGAGTGTCTAAGTACTTTGCCTGCATTCCTGCACTGCATGTGTGAACAATTATCGTCTGTAATATTACTTGTATCCTTGTTACTGTCACTACCTTTGGGATCATGGGTAGAAGAAATTATATAAATTCTTTATAATGCTTATAATTCTCATATTTTTATATTTACAATAAATATTTTTTAAATCTTAGTATCAACAACTTAATTTTTTTTGAATTTAATCAATTTTTTTTAAATATATTGAATATGTCAAAATTCAAATATTTGATACCTTTGAGAGCTGCATAGATAATCACTATTTGTTTTAAAGTTATACGCAGAATCAAATTGAATTCATAGTTGATATTTTTTTTTAAATTATCTTTCTTACAATGTTAGATTCAAAAGTTTGTGAATGGAGCTCAGGAAATAAATGCTATAAGGTTAAAATAAGTCATAAATTTTTAAAGAATATACAAGCATAAAAATTTGTATATGCTAGAAATTAATAACATCTGTGGTGAACTCAACGTTATTAAATCTTGAATTGAATTGATTCATGTTTAACATTTAACACATGACGCATGAATGATAAATATTTGACATTTTTTATAATAAATGATTGTTATATGATATAGATAAAGTTGATTTTGAGTTTTGTGAAAATTATGTATTATGAACATACGTTATAACAAGCCTATTGATGTTGAAATTTACATTTACAAAGAATTATTTGAGTTTGTACATTGTGATGTTTGAAAAAAATTTCTAAAAATTTCACTATTTTAGGCTTTAAGAAAATATGAATAATTTTAAATAATTATTTATTGATAATTATTTACAATATGTGTTGAATGATTTTTTCACACAAAAAGTCCAAGTTGAGATTCAGACTAGACACAAAGTGACATATTTAAGTACAAATAATGATGAAAAATATACAACTGAATAGTATAGTAATATATGCAAATAGAAAAAAATCATTTCATATATCAAACCAATTTATATTTTGCAAAAAAAAAATTTCATATAACAAAAAAATACTATATATGCATTTCATGTCCAACAAATCTTATAAATCATATAATTTTTAGGCTCAAATAATCAATATTATGATATATATAATACATTTTTTTCTTTTTAATGCAATCAGTTCTTTGATTTTCATTCAATTTAGGTGCAAACAAATGATTGATTTGAATGTTTTGAGATTGTTTAATTGTACAACTTATCTTTTTGTGCCTAAGAAAAATAAAATCAACTTGAATAATACATCCAAGAAGTAAATTTTAAAAAAAATATGCTAGTATAAAGAGGTTTTTATTTAAGAAAAAAAAATTAATAATCATTTTTGTATGAAAAGATTCAATTTTGTGTCAATAAACTTGAATATTATATTATTATGGAGTGTGAAATGAAATTATTGATTCTTAACAAAATATGAAAAATGAAGCTTTCAAAAAATCAAAATTTAGTTGATAGCAAATGCATGTACAAATTTTAATTGCAATCTAGCATATGACAAGATGAAAATTTTCAAATCCACATTGATGGCTATAATTTTCACAACAAGAAAATTTATGTATTTTTACAAACTATTTTCAACTGTCATGAAGGTGAAAAAAGTTTGTTGTAATTCACTAATCAATAAACTGACATGTGCACAAGCTACAAGATTCAATATAATTATAAACTACATCTATGTAATCACAACATTAATCTAAAGGTATTTTCAAATTCAATGTCAAATTAACATTGAAAAAAATTAAAAAAATTCTTATAGATAGTTGAAATCATTATATCAATTAAAAAAAAATTAGGTCGTAAAATGCAAGATTATATGAGTATATGAAAGCACAAAATTTTAATAAGATTTGCATGATTCATGTTTATATATGAAAAAGATAAATAGTGAAAATTTTGATTTGATTGATCCAGTATTTTATGTGAATTTTGGACAAAAAATACATTTGATGAGGACAACTTTAAGTATCAATTGAAATTTTGATTTCAGATTATAGAATTTAATTAATTTGAAGATTAAATTAGATAAATGTTGATAGAAATTTGAAAAAAAAACAATGTTGAAATAAATGCAGTTGTGCTTGATACATCCAACAAGATAGATTTTGAAGTAGTAGGAAATTTTTTGATAGCAAATTTCAAGTTTTTACAACTCAATATCCAATCAATATCACTCAAAAGATTAATTTTTTCCAATTTATTATGACAAGGCAATGAAAAGTTTTATGTTTTTGATGATATGAATTAAGCTTGATATTGCTTAAACTATGAAAAAGGTGAGCACATATATATCAAATCCAATTAAAATGCATTGAAA